TATTGCCGCCGGCTCTCGTGTACTAGGGCACCTCCGGGATTCAATTAGGCTGGGTGGACGCTGTAGAGGTCGGCAAACACGAAGTTTTCTTCTCAAATTTAGAGTCGGGATAAAGCAATAACGACGAAGGTCTAGCATAGCTTAAGTAGGTATTTGAGCGCTTCACGAAGCAGAAAGCGCGACGCAGTTACAGACTTCTCATCCTTAACGGCTACAGCAGCCATCTCACGACCGATTTTATAGATTTTTGCGACGGCAACCGCATTCTCCTCGCCATCTTTCTACCTCATTCAACCTACAGCTTGCAGCCGCTCGACGTCGTGCTCTTCGGGCCTCTTTCGAAGTACTACACTTAAAATCTTGACCGCCACCTCCATCGATCGCAAGGCATCACAAGGATCACAAAACGCGACTTCTTTGAGAACTTTTAGCCCGCGTAGAGCTCTACAATAAGGTTAGATCTTATTAAGAAGAGTTTTTAAGCTACAGGCGTGTAGCTAATAGATGCGGACGCTGTACTAAAACGCTTTAACAACCGCACTTCAAGACAATCTAGAGCTTCACAACTTAGGCAGCAAGGCGACGGCGATAGCTAGAGGGAGCTGCGTAAAATTCTTAACGTTGCGGTGCCTGACAAGGCAAAAGTTGAAGCCTAGCAGCTAGAGGCTTTATTACACTCTCTACAGGTACAAAACGAGCTCCTCCACCACGAGAATCAAGGCCTACAACAAGCGCTTAACGCGAGGGAAAAGCGCACTAACAACAGCAAGACTATAGACCTTCAGCAGCGCGAGGAGTATCACGGCAGCGCAGTTTTTTGGTCTCTAAGCAAGCTCCGCGAAGCTCGCTTTCGCGAGCGCGTGAAACAGGACGTAGCTGAGCAGCTACAACTCTAAAAAGCTCGCGATAAAAAGCTAAAAGAGGCTTCAAGGTTATACCAAAAGCAGCAACAAGTAGCTGCCTAGGAGGCTCGACAGCGTGCTGCTAAGGAGCGTCGCGAGCTTAAGAAAGCACAGTGTCACGGTAACCACCGTGGTTCCCTTGACACTGAACGCGCTACAGAATCCGAGTGCTCCGCCAAGCACCCGAATTCTGCTGATTGGCCGGCCGGGCCTAGCGCCATGCGCACGGCCCCCATCGATAACTTCTCACCGCCTGTACATGCTGATTCTGTTTCCTTACGCAACGTCTTGTATTACACCAGATATCGTACGTAGCCACAATTAACGCTTCTAGCAAGCTCTTAAAACACGTGCGCGTAGCATCTCGTGACACTTAGCTAAACTATCTACTACCTATTAACCTAGGTAGAGCTCCTTTACAACGAACTTAATAGCTTGCAGCAGAAGCTATACCTAAAACAGAAGCGCCAGAAGCAACCTAGCAGGCAATTAGACCTGCAACAGCATTAGGAGTACTACGGCGGAGCGATGGTGTAGTCACCTTAAGCTATTCGGGAGGCGCGCGTCTGCATGGCAGTTACTGAGAAGGAGAAGGAGGCTGACGAGCTAAAAAAGGCAGAGATAAAGGAGTTAGCTGCTGCTGACAAGCTATATAAGGAGAAGATTGCAGCAGAGAAGCGTGCGCAGCGTGTAAGGGAGAAGGAAGCGCGCGCGCAGGCTAAGGCAGAGGAGCGTTAAGCTATTGATGCCTGGAAAGCTGCTAGAACCTGTGATGGGCTGGAGCCCAGTTGGTGAGTCCTCGATGATATCTCGGTCACGTGCGCGAGGCGCACTGTCCACAGATTCCGGGTGCCCCCCCTGAGCACCCGGATTCTGTGCAAGCGAGCCCGGCAGAAGGTTATCCCGAGCCGCCGCCCCCTGAACGACCTTCAGAACCCTAGCTACCTGTAGTTCTCTTCTCTATCGAATACAACTCCAGTATACCTGTGCGATAGCTCCCTGAGCGTAGCCCCTTACATGCGTCGCTCGCTTGCCCGCGTCACTCGCTTATCTAACACGTTAGAGAATTTATATAGGGAATATTGTTTACGTAGGCCTAAAGAATACTCTATTAAAACACCTCGCGATAATAACTATTGTACGTGGCTCTATAGCTTTAATTTTGTAGTAGGCCTCAGGGCTCGGAGCGATCGTTGGTTGACTCCGATCGTTGGGTGCACGGACACGGTACCATGCGTGATCAGCCGATGAGCCACCCCACCAACATGAGCAGAAATTGAAAAATGAGGCTGTATAGCCACCCACAGCAGCTGTGATTATAAGCTTTTGTACAACAATAGTAATTAAATGCTTGCGATTAACTTGTGCTACTTAGAATACTTTTTTAGAGTCTGTATAGATCGCGTTCGTGTCGTTTTTGGTGGAGCTCGTGGTGCAGCCTCAATAGCAATAGCACTACCCCCAATACGCCTAACAGTCCTTCTCTTTGCTACTCTTGCTACAGGAGGCTTTAGAGCTGCTCTCTTGCCTCCTAGGGACAATTGTATTGCCTTTCCAGCGTTGTTGTCTTCCTTTTCTTGTTGTTTCGAGGCCCTACGCGCAGCTAGTTCATCAGCCCTCTGTTTTCGCTCCTTCTCTCTCGCCTCCTTTGCCAATTATCGCAACACCTTTGCTTCTTCTACTATCTTCCTCTTGTACAAGGCAGCAGCAGCTTTTAACTCCTTATCCCCAGCTTTTCTAATCTTTTCTTCCTCCTCTTGTTGTTTTCTCCCGCGCTCTCTTGCCTCAGCTGCTCTCACCTTCCTAGGACTCCAAAACATAAAGCCACCATAGTATTCCTCGTCCTCTCTAGGGGCTATAGTGATACTCTTATTCTTGTGCTTCTTTTTGATAGAAAGGGCTGTACGTAGGCCCTTGTTTTCATAGTGTAGAAGCTCAATTTAGACCTGCATGGAATGGAGTGTGGAGCTCAGCTTCTAGGCCTCAACTGTAGTAGTATCCTTGACAGCAGCATCAAATAAACGACGGAGCTGTCTCCAACTACTCCAATCATCCTCCTCCTGATTTTCTGGATCCCCTTCTTGCCCTAGAGCTGTATTGTTGAACCGTTTTAGGATAGCTTCAGCGTTTGGTGGAGAGATCCCTGTAGCTTCAAAGCTCTTCAAAATACGACTTTCTGTAAAGGAGTCTATCCAGGCAGCCTAGAAAAGGGTGAAGAAGTCTCCTTTTCTTATGCCAAGGAGTCCTTGGCTGTTGTGAAGGTATGTTGTAAGCTCCTTTGAGTAAGAAGCTGAGAGCGGCCCAAAAAGTACCACATCTAGGGGCTGAAGAGTATGGGTTGCATAAGGAGGAAAGACAGCCAGGAGAATTTTATTGGAGTCGCAGAATTTGATAAAATCCATAGTAACATGGGATCCATGGCCATCAAGGATGAGGAGGCGCCATCTTCTCCTTGCTTTCTGCTGGGTACTCCTATTGAACACCTGTTCAAGCCATGCCAATCCCAGGTTATTATTTGTCCGTCCAGTGGGTGAGTTACTCAAGAAAACTGGGTGTTTTCCTACCTCAACGTCCTCTACCCAGCTAGATTGCAGCCCTGTTTTCCCTTCATAAATAAGCGCTAGAGGTAGGGCTACTCCATCAGCACTAATACAAGCCAGGACTGTTATCCATTCCTTTGAGCCATCTTGCAGCGCAGCAGTAACCTCTTTTCTAGCCCATAACGCCTTAGAAAAGACTCTTTTAGAGCGTCCTGTGATGCTAATAAGGAACCCCTTTTCATCCATATTATACACGTTCTCTGGCTCAACTTCGTACTCCAGCATCTTTTGATAGAGTAGATTAAAGTATAAGCTGTACTTGTGCTTTGAATCAGCTTTGTGGCGTACCTGGTCTATTCTAGTAGTCCATTTCGATGTAAGATAGGCATGATTTCTTTTCAGAAACCGTGAAACCCAGCAGCGCCCCACCTTCTTTTTCGCCACTATACTGGCGAAATTTTGTATCATCTCCCTTGTAGGGGGTAGCCCTCGCTTTGTTAGAGCTTCAATATATTTTACAAGCTCAGATTCTTGTTCCTAGTTGAGTTTTCGGCGTTGTTGAGCTTCCCCTGCATTTAAGCGCGTTACTCCTTGATGCCGGCGAGATAGCGTTGCGCGGCTAATATTGAACTGTCCTGCAACCTTTCTGTACGTAAAAGATGCATCAGGAGCGCGCGATTCGATTGCTTCAATCGCAGCTTGAATTGGGTCCATATTAGTGGAGTTATGGTGGGCTGGAGGGAGGGTGGATGGATTTGTGATTATGGTGGGGTGGCTCATCGGCTGATCACGCATGCACGCGGGTGACAAAAAAGAGCCGAATGCAAAATCTCTACTTTCTGCAGGCGTAGAACAGCGCAATACAACTAAATTATTAAAATTCTAAGTTAATCAGTCTATACAGAATTATCTTATCTATTTTCCTAGCTATTTTGCTATTATTATTCTTTTACTATTGTAGTGTAAAGAATCTAGAGAGAGAGAGTATACTTTGCTCTGTTCTGCTGCAGCTCGCTTATTCTGGTGAGGATTTGGGGTTTCGGAGTCGGCTCTTTTTTGTCACCTGCGTGGCATGATACCAGGGACTCTGGTCGCGTGAGTATCTTCCGCCTTGCAAAACGCGGATGCCAAATATGCAACTCAGTGTAAACACATACATTCTTGTCCACGCTGTGACAACTAGCATATGTCGGAATTAGCTGACTGTCGGCTAGGCTCCGCTGAAACGATGCTGTACGTCGAACGGTCGATATTCCATGGTGCAAAGTCCGCGACAGCTGACCATCTATGACGCACGACGCAATTCGTCGAAGGTTAGTTCGCTGCCAAGTAAACACGCTGACTTTGTAACTAACGTCCGCCCTTGCGTAGCGAGACACCCTGCTGCCTCTTGCCCTACCATCGTCCTCAACTCTCTCTTTTGGGGCATTCTTCACAGCACGTGCCTACTATTCAATTGGAATTTTTTCCCCGCTGCACCCCTGCTTATGATGCTTGCTAGGCGGTTGTTTTCATCAATACCTTGAATTAAGTAAAGCAGACAAGTGCTACTTCAGCAATGCAACTGCTTTATCTACCAAATGAGTTACTCCGAGATATATCGGAATACTTAGAATCCGAGAGAGATGTCAACGCCCTTGCACAAGCCAACCGCCGCCTTTACGATCTCCTAGATAGCTACCTCTACTGCTACAATGTACAACAATCTGGAAGCTCAGCGCTGTTGTGGGCTGCCCAACATGGCCAAAAGGAGACGGCGCAAAAGTCGTTGAGGGAAAAAGCCAATATAGAGGCCACAAATGATGATGAAGAGACACCGCTGTTGTTGGCGGCAAAAAGTGAGCATAAGCAGGTAGTAAAGCTGCTGGTTGACAAGGGCGCCGACATTAACGCGCAGGGTGGACTCTACGGCAACGCACTCCAGGCGGCTTCATCTGGAGGCCACGAGGCGGTGGTGAGGCTGCTGCTCGACAAGGGCGCCGACGTCAACGCGCAGGGTGGACTCAACGGCAACGCACTCAACGCGGCTTCATCTGGAGGCCACGAGGCGGTGGTGAGGCTGCTGCTCGACAAGGGTGCCGACGTTAACGCGCAGGGTGGATACTTCGGCAACGCACTCCAGGCAGCAGTTAGCCACCAGACGGTGGTGCAGCTGCTGCTCGACAAGGGCGCCGACGTCAACGCGCAGGGTGGACACTACGGCAACGCACTCCAGGCGGCTTCATCTGGAGGCGACGAGGCGGCGGTGAGGCTGCTGCTCGACAAGGGCGCCGACGTTAACGCGCAGAGTGGACTCTACGGCAACGCACTCTACGCGGCTTCAGGTAGAGGGTGCGAGCAGATAGTCAAGATGCTGCTCGACAAGGGCGCCGACGTTAACGCGCAGGGTGGACTCTACAGCAACGCACTCTACGCGGCTTCAGGTAGAGGCTGCGGGCAGATAGTCAAGATGCTGCTCGACAAGGGCGCCGACGTCAACGCGCAGGGTGGAGTCTATGGCAACGCACTCCAGGCGGCTTCATCTAGAGGCGACGAGGCGGTGGTGAGGCTGCTGCTCGACAAGGGCGCCGACGTCAATACGCAGGGTGGACACTACGGTAACGCACTTCAGGCGGTTTCGTCTAGAGGCCACGAAGCGGTGGTCAAGATGCTGCTCGACAAGGGCGCCGACGTCAACGCGCAAGGTGGAGTCTATGGCAACGCACTTTACGCGGCTTCGTCCGGAGGCCATGAGGCGGTGGTAAAGCTGTTAGTGGCATGGGGTGCCGAGTCAGCATGAGGAAAATAGATGTATAGCTGGCTGATTGGTGTCATTAAAAGAAGATAACTACATTCTAAAGCGTATGTCTTGGGCGGTAATAGTAGTCTATTAAACACAACGCACGGCGATGCTTATGACACTGTAACAAAAGCAACGTGCGGCAGATTTGCCACCACAAGCTAGGTAGATAGCTAACCAGCATCTGCTACACCCTTGTAAAAGAGGCGTTTGTTTCTCGTTATCATGAATTATGAAGGATTAGTACCGTACTAGACATTGTCAATGATACGAACTTGCTAAGTTAGGTGGTATAGTGATCTTTAAAAGGCCCCATAGCGGGGCCAAATTAAGGGTAGGTAGGGTCTGAAAGTTTGAACCCGAACAGCTCTACACCGGGAATCAGCACAGGACCCACGGTAACTAAGTTGGGTACAACCGAGGCGGTATGCGCTAGGATATTCTGTCACGTGCGAATTTTATTACAGTTACATATTCTACACAAGCACGTTTGCATCTGGCCTACTCTAGGTTTGAATGAGAATTCTTTGCTGAAGCGACTGAGACTAAGGTAAGTCTCTATGCCTAAGAACTATCCTAGTACTAATTTTATGCTGACACAACTCTGTGGCCGGTGCGGGTCGGCCATAGTTCTTACTTACAGTGGCGGAACTGCATTACACATCGCTTGTAAGCATACTGACATTTGTTGTGCTTGATTGGCCTAGCACCAAACGAAATCGAGCACAGATGAGCAGGTCGCTTGATTTGGATTGATACAATGGTTGTACTGTAGGAATGGTACAATATATTGTGTCCTGGAGAAACCCTCCATGCTCTGTTCTTACTTGTGCGAGAGGGAAACAAGTGCTTGGATCTGGACTTCATCTCGTTGAGGGGGGTTCCTCGTTTGCAAGGGATGGACGTTAGTTTCGAAAATGCGAAAAATACTATATGTGTGTCTACGATGCGGGAGGTCGTTGAAAGTTCTTCGAAGCCTTTGCGTGCGAGTTACCAACTCCACCTCTTCATCGAACGACAGCCGCAGTCTGGAAGTGCTGCATACATTTTTCCAACGGCCGCACCACATTCGCGACAATTTCGTCTCTCCAATTCTTTTCTCTGTCTGTTACGCCCATGAAGCACCACTTGACAGCTGTCGCATAATCGTCTCCGCCTTCGCCGCTCACGCTGCTGGACCACTTTAACGCAGCCATTACGTCGAAGGCATGTTTGGTTGCGGCATCGGTGATTGATGGGTGCTTCTTGCGTAGGTGATGGTCTTCCAACCGGCAACCAAAGCAGAGTTCTAGAAGAAGTATGCCGAGGGAGTAAAAGTTGCAGTCGTTCGCGGATGAGTCAGTGGAGGAGAGGTGATTGCGACCGTGTGGGAAGTCCTGTCGGATGAAAGGCTCGCCGTACGGAATGATGGGGCTGTCGTCGTTGGAAGAGAAGAAAATGATATCCTCCTTGCAGAGACCAGTCCGTAGCCAGGTCGTAGATTGGAGTTGTCCTACCGATGAAGCAACAAGAAGCGCAATTAAGTAGCGTTGGCGCCGCGAGAGGTGGCCTTCAAAGTCATGGGAGAGGATGTGGTCAAGTGTGATGGGATCGTATCCGACGTCCTGCCTTTTTTGAATGATCGGATGAAGATGAAAGATGTCATCGTCATGACCGATGATGCCCATGCATACTCCGCAATCTTCATCGCCTAATTGTTTACACAATTGGATGTTGTGATTGATGAAAGGGTCTACTTGGATCTTCGGTACAATGGACGCAGGTGGTACGAAACCCACTCTTTTCCGGTTCGAAATTGAGGGTGATGGTATGGTAGCTGGTGTGGGCAGGGTAGCTGGTCGGCGATGAAGCGGTGAGGATCTGGCTGCTTTCATCCCCTTCTGATGAAAGAAACAACCCAGCATATGGCCGCAGCGAAACTCTCTCCAGCGCCATGGCGTGTTTCCGTGTTCCGAGGGAGCGACAAACATGAGGATGATATTGAAGCATAATTCTGTGAGTGTCCGATGCTCCAGTCGTAAGTTCGCGAAGTGGTACTGCTGACACGAGCACTGCCAGGCGTTCTGCAGCGCCTGAAACAGCAAACTTGATTCCTTCGAAATCTTCTTGAATGCTGACGTCAGCTCAGAAGTCTGCTTGGTATACCCGGGCGCGACATCTTGGAGTGCAGAAACTCTGTCACTGGAGCTCAAGAGCTTCTCTAGACGCTCATTGCATTCTTTGAGTTGACCGAACAGCTCGTCTCTAGTCCTTTCTCCAATACTAAACTTTGTTCGAAAAAACTCATAGTCCAACCTGCCCTTGGCAGCGGAGAGCTTCGAAGGCCTTGCATATGGCTGAAGGCTTGGCGATCGGCTGGAGCTCCGCCGGTTCGTTTCCGGCAGCGAGAGCTGGCCCTGCACAGTCTCTTTATCGAAACACAACTCTTTCTTAAGCTCTTCGGCGATCTCATTCATCTCAGTAATAGTGTCCTGGTACGATTGATACGACTCGTGCAACCTGGATTCCAGTCGTTTTTGCAGCGCCATGTCGCCCCATCTTTGGCCACCCGGATCTGCAATGAGCTTCGCAACTTCATCCGCATCCGGAATGAGTGGCAACAGAAGCTCCCTGAGGTTGTTCTTGTATAGAATCTCGTGAAACTGGATGTCGCGCTGACATTTGGTGTATTCCTTCCGTATCCGCCAATAGAAGCCGCCAACTTTCGCGACACCACGCCAGTGCTCGATACCGCTTATGAGCAGAGATGCCAACAATCAAGTCAATCAATCAATTTGCTTGATCACGGACCCACTTATGGTGCGTGCATGGTGTCACGGACCACACCTGGGTCCGTGATCAAGCAAATTGATTGATTGACTTGATTGTTGGCATCTCTGCTTATGAGCAGTGGAAAAGCGCCAAGGACGACACCTGCTATTTCTAGACCACTCATAGGGACGTGGAAATGATGTCAACAAGACGAATAATCTAAGATGAGCAGAGTTGTCAACAATCAAGCCAATCTGCAATCAAGCCAAATGTGGCCCCTGCTTACTAGCGGCCTAGAATATACAGGTACAGCTATGCCTAGATAGAGGGGTGGCACGTCTCTCATATAGGCCCGTGGCTGATCGACAAGGCTAGTGAGCAGGGGCCACATTTGGCTTGATTGCAGATTGGCTTGATTGTTGACAACTCTGAAGATGAGAAAGAGATGGATGTTAGGAGTTGAAAGGCTGAAACGTAAGGAGGGCATTGCACGCATTCGTTCCCCGCACTTTTGCCCCCAAACGCAACTTCCGCCGCCTTGCGACATCTCCACTACGCCAACAACCGTCAGGCTTCCAAGACCGTTTGTATCTGGATTTTACCTATAGGCGTTCCCAAAAGACCAGGTACACCCCGTGACTTTCGTTCCCCGCACGTGCCACATACCCCGCCAAAACAGCGATATCGTGGAATTGAGAACACCTCACGATCTTGCAACGCACATAATTAAGGTTATCAAGATTGCTGCTACATTCTATACAAATCATTCTCTTGGTGTTGCACTTGCGCAGTGATGTCACGCCCAGCCAGCCAACCTACCGGTCACAAGCTGGCTCCCACGACACTGCAAAGTGTCGTCGATCGGATAGAGGCCGGTCTCAACAACTCACAGATCTTTCGTGAGACTGGTGTAATGCGACGGCATATAGCAAGATTTCGTCAAAACCTAAACTACTGGGGTCAGCCATACCCGCCGGAGTGTGTGAAATCCGGCCGACCAAGCACACTTCGCGAGCTCCATCGAAGACGGATGAGACAGTACCTTAGAGGGCGACCACAAGCATACCTCGAGGAGATCAGAGACTGGTTTATTGATGAATTCGACATGCCTGTGAGCATCTCCGTCATCCATCGCGAGCTCCAAAGCATGGAGTGGAGTCGTAAAGTCGCCACAAAGAAAGCTGCAGAGCAGAGCGATGCACTCCGACGAGTTTTCCAAGCCCGGGTACAGCTGAACTACACCGTTGAGCAGGTTATCGCGATAGATGAGAGTGCTTGCAACGAGCGCACTGGTGATCGCAAGTATGGATGGAGTCCTATTGGCCGGTCTGTTGAGCTTGAGTATTCTATGAAACGGTCAGAGCGATGGAGTCTGCTGCCAGCAATGACTGTGGATGGATACCTTGCGCACCGAATCTTCCAAGGTGCTATTACAGCTGCGATTATGGAGGATATCTTAGAGTTTGATGTATTGCCGTACTGTACTCCTGGCTATCACGTACTACTCATGGACAACGCATCAATCCATCGATCAACAACAATTGTACAGCTTTGTAGAAAATTTGGAGTACAGTTAGAGTACCTACCACCATACTCACCTGACTACAACCCTATCGAGCGGAGCTTTAAGGTGCTTAAAAGTTGGATTAAAAGAAACACTCAATATCAGGATGACTGGCAGGGCTTTCAGTACTTCTTAGAGTACGCAGTACAGTGTAGTTGTTACAAGATTGCCTGTAGAGAGTGGTACAGGAAGTGCGGGTATCCAAGTATTAATGATTAGGATTAGTAGTAGGGGTTATACAATACAAAATGTTGTAACATTAGTTACCACTAATCTACCCTAAAACCTCTCGCTCAGGAGAGTCCTCTAGCGTTGCATTGTCATATGCTCTGTTTAGGGCAACGTAGTTTGCTCGTGTTAATCCACCGTAATCTTTCTTCCAATCGTGTGCTTTTCTTCAGAGATGTGAGAGGTATCCTGGAGATATTCTAAAGTAGTTGACCCACACTTCTATTGTCATCCCACACTCCTCGTCCATCAGCATGTTAATATTGTACTTCCCTTCTTTAAACACCTTCTCTTTCACCTCGTTAATAGTTCCCTTATACTGTGGCATCGCGCGCTCCCAGAATTTGAAAAAGTTGTAAGTATGTTGTGCTAACTCAGGATGTGGGCAGTCAAAATCCATCCATACTTGACGGGAAGTGAACGTCTCGGAATGGTGATTACAGCGAGGAGCTGAAGCAGCAGTTATTTGAGCAAGATGACCAGCTAATATAGCTTTTGTAAGGCCTTCGATGCTTGAGTTTGAAGACGTTGGTGACACCTTCCGCCTTCGGCGCTTCTTCTCAGCATCAGCGCGGTCTCTAGCTAGCATGATAGACAATCGAATCTCATCAGAAGGTTGCTCGACTGTACACTCTTTGCGCTCAATGCCCTGAGCCCAGCTTGCAATGAGGTTACCGCTGACTTTGTAGTGATCCTCGAAGCGATCAAGGCGGCCAGGCACACGCCGAATGCAACAGGTAAAGCTGTAATTGCCGCAGCATTCTTCGCGGCATCTCCAGTGATCCTTAATATCTATGGCAGAGCCAATTGCAAAGTGCTCAGCTGTAACAACACCAGCAAGTCCCTCTTCTTGTATAGCAGTAACGATGCCTGGACGTGCACGAACAGTGGATCTACCGACTGGCTGCTCTGCCGATAGAGGCACCGGCTGCTGCTGCTGCTCCTCGCTCAACACTAAGTCAAAGTCGCACTTCAGCATTTCCGAGCTCTCCTTGTCCATCTCTTCTACTAACGCTATCAACTCTGACCAGTTTCCGAAACAGAGATCTTCACCAGTTACCAAACGGCGACGCTGCAGCGCGGTAGTACACCTATCGCCTTTGGCTTGGCGGCCGCCAGTATAGTATAGCGTCGCTGTCAAACTCTCAATCTTTGCACCTCGCGGCTTCTGACTCTTAACTACTCCGTCCGCCCATCGCCACAGCTTCTCATCGCTTACAGTATACATGTGCTTGCTACGCGCAAACCGAGAAGCAGAAGGTATTAAATTCTTCTCCATAGAACCCCAGCAAGCGCGCCATCTAAAGTGCAACTTTGGCTCTTCGTCAGCCTCCTCTGTAGCAGCTGCTGACTGACGCTGCGAATGGCTTGAAGAAGCCACTGAGGTAGCGGCAGCGGCAGCAACACCAGGTGAGTCTCCAGTCGCACTAGCAGCATGCTCGCTAGCCATTGTAGCAGCCTCTTCCTCCTCTGGCAATGGATCCTCCTCCTCCTCCGCGTTATCGTCCTCGAATGTCTCAAATGTATTATCAGTTTGTGCGTCAACAGCGAGCTGGCTCGATTCGGCAGTTGGTTCGCAGAGCGGGCTGACAGGTGCTGGCGTAGAGCTGCGATCGCGGCTATAAGCGTTTTGCTGCGACTGACGGTACTGCGAGCGCCGCTGCTTCCTCGCAGTCAGCGGCGGTGTAGGGGGCGCAGGATTGACACCTTGCTCGAATACTAAAGGTGCTCGAGTCGCTCGTCGCTGGCGTTTGCTGAAAGTCCCACTTCCTTGCTGCGCATTTTCGTTTTTCCGCTTTAAATTATCCGTCATTAGAAAGTACCACAGCAAGGTGCTATTAGAAGACACGGTTTTAAGCTATCTAAGAAGCTTTAAGGTTTAGGGATGCGGTAGTATGTTGGGTTGCATTGCAATCGCTAACAAAAAGAGATAGTTACTAGATATCGGCAACTCGCTTGTCTCGCCACTCGTCCGACGCTAAGTCACGGGGTGTACCTGGTCTTTTGGGAACAACCCATATCCTTGCGCTCTTATTGGTCGTTCTCGGCACACTGGGTTTCTCGTCACGTAGGACGGGACGTTACAGTTTTATTCTCCAAAATGCGAACGGGCATGCTCGGATCATATCGCGGTCGGCCTTACTGACAGTACACTTCAATCTACTATCATGAGTATTCATGCTCATGCAAGAACCACGTTGGGTTCGGCTCTTTCAAGCATAATGAAGAGGATGTAACAAGAATAATTCGAGTCAAGAAGAGCAACCGTTATGTGATATTCAAAAATTGAAAGCGAAAAGAGTCCCCTTATGCTTACGTTGCCCAGGATTACCATATCCCAGGCAAAACCCTGGTTTTTTTCTGGACGGTAACGTTACTTCGACATATCTTGTAGGGGGGTTTCCCAACTCCCAAATCTTCGAAACCCAAAAGGTGACTGACATGGTGCTGTCGGTCCCCACTCGTTTCAACGACGGAAATCGCACTCCCTGCGGGTTAGCGGAACCAGAAGGAGGTTTGCTATTCCAAAGTGCTTCAATGCTTTGAAAAGCTTATAGACCCGTCTTATCTAGGACTCAAGTTTGGGGAAAACCTTTACCTCCAAAACCATGGAATTTTGTGTACGCGGTTGGATGTTACAAGTACTCCTGAAGTGGACAAGCGCGTACAAGAGACTGACGTGAGACACATCAACCCGGCTGCAGACTTCATCCGCATAGTGAAACTGATGCAAAAGGGACCAGCAAACGTTGTGCATCCATATTACTTCCAAGCTATCCTAGCTGCTAAAGGGGGGAGAACGGCGGAATTTGTTTTGGTGGGGGCCCATACCCTTTTGTTGGTTTTGGTTCCCCCCTAAATTTCCCCTTTGCAAAGGGCGCAAGTTTCAATGGCCAGTCTGGAGTAGCATCGCATCCAGTTATAGATAAAATGTACAAGGTCCATAGCGCATTCGCTACCGTGTGCAATGCATGCCTTCACAGGGAGCTTCAAGCGGATGTTCCGGATGCCACGGACTGGGGACTGCGTCTGGATCCTAACGGAACGCCTCATTCTCCTCCGAATCAGTCGCCAGTAACTGTGCAAGAGCTTTTGAATGCTCACAGAAAGTACACGGAGACAAAAAGAGAGCGATGTGTCAAGTGCAGAAAAAATACAGGAAAGAACTGCATGTGGAAAGGACTTATGACGGCGCCTGAGATACTACCTATTGAGATCAAGACGTATGCGCGAGAACTATCAGCTGACAAGCAGACGAGATACAAGTTTCTCTTCTCCGATATTGTTCTTAACAGAAGGATCTATGTACCGAACGTCGGCCGCAAGCACACCACGAGGTACGAACTGCAGGCAGTCGTTAAGCTTGAAGGCAAAGGTCATGAACATGCTGTAGCATTTGTTCGCTCGGGTGAACACAGGTGGTGGAAGTGTAGCGACGAAGATATCACAGGTTCCACCTGGGAGGCAGCTAACACCCCCGGTAAGGGCAGGTTTTCCCTCGTTTTCCCAATCAAAAAGTTCGAACTAGGGGCTGACGCAGACACAGCGAAGAAGAGCAGGAACAACATAGCAGCAAAGCTAGATGCCCTGACCGAGACGACAAAATGGAAAGACCTACCTTTCACCGAACGCGACGGGGATTCTCCCGTTTTCATTCCCTGCCATAAAAAATGTCGATTCTCTATTCTTTTTGATACAAAAACTTGCATTGCTACCCGAAACTTGTTGGTTGGGGGACTCTAACATTAACAAATTTCTGCTATTGCGTGTTGCGTGTCGCGTTACGCTGCGCAAACCAGGGGTTCTGGGGGGGACGCGCGACCGCGTTCAGCGAAAACCCCCGCCCAACACCCTTTTCAGAAACCGCCGCCCCCGCCCCCAACCCCCGTAAACCCCCGCCCAAACCCGCCGGCACGCCCCGGGTGAAAATATCGGCGGTTCTCTACTTTCTCCCCAATTTCAAATTATATTTGTGAAAACAGTATGTGACTGCAATACAGAATCCTAGATGCGCATCTGTGTTCAAAAACCCAGATTGTAGACAGCTGCAGTACCATCTTGGTGCGACAAAATTTTGAAGCCATGAGGCTGTTCGTAAGGAATAAGCGTGAGCGATTGCGTCCACCAGGCGCTGGGGGACATGTTTGGGCCTCAGCGCATCACTCGATCGGCCCCTGGGGGTTGCTTTCCCCCGGGGTTTTCCCGGGTTTTGCGGGGCCGCCTGCCCTTGATCGTTGTCATCCCCGGGTCCCGTCCATGGCTGTTTTTTATCAATTTTATTACTATGATGTGCAGATGGGGGAAGGCACAAGGATAAGAATACGGAAAAACTCGCTCTCGCTTGGGAAACGCAGTGCGCCCGCCCGTTAACAGGTACTGCAGGTACTGCGGGTCTGCAGTCATGCGGCGTAACATCCTAATGAGACGATGACCGACATGGTCCCTCGGCAAACCAGCCGACCCCTTGTGGTGCGTCTACACGCCCACGGCGACTCTTCGACTCCATTTTTCCTCCTAGTGCCCCCGCGTCAAAGTAGGTGCTAGCATTCATTTTTTCCCGGCAAGCATTTGGTACAAAAGTCTTCATCGGGAGCCCAATCCCGTCTGTCTCTGAAAAGGTCGTCTTCCACTGTCATCGTGGTTTTGAGTTACAGGGGTCAAATGTGAAATTTGTGGAAGTGGTGGGCGGGTGCATAACGCGACCATGTGCATTCCCGGCAGACAAAATGGCATTCCGCACGGAAAAAGGTAAGCATAATACCGAAAAATTCGACCCCCCCATTTCCCGAAACGCAGTGCTGTGGGGCTGACATAGTCTCACCTGCGGGAAATGAGTTGCGGACTGTGTACCACCCTCCCCAAAACTGTCGAGACGGCGACGCGCCCCAAATCTCGACGCGATAATGCGGGCTGGTACGCCTGCCCCCTGACAGGCAGACTTGCTAAGAAGACTTGCACACAGATGTCCCGCCATTTTGCAGTTTCCGTGACGCGGCCGGTCCAGACGCAGTGGACAGCGCTGTCAGAAAGCACGTTGCGTGCATTTGTCCGTACGTGACTGTGCCGAAGCAGTCTTTGTCCCAAGTATTGCCGCAACGGCCTTTCGCATCCGTCTTCGAATGTTGTCCCATCACTCCATCGATGGTAGTTATTGCCTCCGCTGCGCTAGGCTTGCCCGCCCCCCAATCCGATGGTCCCAAGATTTGCTGCGCCCGGATGCAGCCCACAACACGACGGCGGTTTCGAACGCTGCAAGGACTTGGATGCGAAGGCATCGCCTTGACCTCTGCTCGTTGGCAGCGGAATCTCAGTGTAGATCGTCTATCGATCAAGACATGCCCCATCGTCAGCGTTTTGCCCATGTCAGTGATATGCGCGGAGATAGATACTCAGCATGCGATGCCGAACATGTGCACTGATACAGTTGCTACTGTAGTGAATGCGGCTTCACTCTTGCGCATAGCTGCAACACCGTTTTGCGCTTGATCTGCCAGTATGGGTGTTTGGCCCCACCTTCGGTACGTGGTTAAGCGCTAACCGTCAGCGTCACCCTCCAGCTACGCATGCAAGAGTCGAACACAGAACAAAGACTATTACTAGTCAGCAATCGATGATTACATTCGCCTGGTCCTTGCCGGAAGGTCGACCTCAGTTCGTGTAGCTGCCCGCAAGGGTGAAGCCGCATTCGCTACATATCATGATTCGCAATCTCGTCTCTCTTACTCGGCGTTGGACTGGTGGTTATAGTTGTGTAGACTCGCGAACAGAGAGGCGTCTACCTTGCAATACTACACCCGTGCATCCGTCCGAGCTATGCTCTAAGAGTGAATGATCCTCTATAAAGATAGAGGCCATGGATATCTGGAATCGATATCACAAGCTCATTGCAGGTTGATGTTTGCTTGCAGTGAACCGCATGAAAGCATACAAGTCCTGTTGCAGACTTCATCAATACACTGATAATAATGCGAGAGGCTGGAAGCGATATCGTGTATCCTTGCCACCTTCAGACCTCCATCTCGATCAAGGGCAGAGATGAAGTCAAAGTGTTCGTGTCTGACGAGGGCGCATACGCATTATCTTGGCTTCAATTTATCCTTGGCTGCCTTTGTAAAAGTGCTAATTCTGACGGTTGCTTGGCAGCGCTGTCGCATTCTGTTGGCATGGGGTAGTGGCATAAAGAGGGTATGTTGTGTGTATTCAAGAAAAGTGACGATGCAGCTCAGATGTAGTGGAGGAATGTAGTAAGTACTGCAGTAGCGCCGGCTTACACATTCTGTTTGTGGTCACAGCAAAAGCATGTGCTACATGTCACCTATATTGGTTGGTTATCATGCGCTCTGTCTGTTCAATATAGCTTTTTGCCATGTAACGGAGAGGCGGGAGGATGACAGTGCATCCAGCAATGCTTATGCTTACGGCAATGTTTACATTGGAAGTGGTAATCTTGGTCATGGGCGGAAGCTCCCCAATCTACCTCCCAGCTTCACTGGTCGGGTTTTCCATGATCGAAAGTTTTGTCATTGCCAGCATTTTCCCTGGCCCAACCCGGGGCGCCGCTGAATCTCGTTTCTACAACGGGATGATCCCCCAAATGAGCTCCCTTTTAGTCATTCCCAAATGGTTGAATCGGGCATCAACGCCTTCTAAAATTCCTTTGACCTCTGCCCGCAGTTCACTTTCCTGCTTCGACTGGACTGGCAGGCTGACTGTTGCCCGCTCCCCCTAGCCCCTTTTTAATAATCTCTGTAAATCTGAAGATAGATCTCATATCCCCCAGTCTCCATCGGTTCTTGCAAAGCCGAAATCTGA